GTGTTGGCAAAATCCAGACCGTTGACTTTAAATGATTTAAAAATCTGATTTTAAAATGATTGGTGTAGATATTATTTTGTCAACCAAAATATTTATTCAACGACGGAATTGACAATAGATGCTAAAGAAAATTGATGTTGTAAATATCTTGTGCTCTCGTCATGCATCTCTTAATCATGCACTGCGTAAATTATTTCTTTAGTTCATGATTGAATGTAAAATAAATGAGAAAATGACCTAACACTCGAACCATATTAGTCTTGTACAATCTATCGCAAAAATGATCCAAGATATATGATTTTGGAAATATTAATTTATGGGAAATGTATTAAATTTTCTTTCATGGTCCTTGTTCATTATATACCAACCGTAGTTAATTAAATCAATGAAATATTTTTTTAAGTAAGGAAATGGTAGAAAGTAACATTAATTAAATTAATTTTATAAGGTATAGGAATAATTACATGACATTCTTATTCACACGAAATATAATGAAAGAAACAACTCTAGCGAGTTTTTTTTTTTTTTATTTACTTGTCTATTTCAGGATTTGTCTCTTGGAAGGAACTAATCCCTAGTTTGGGACAAATTACATTTCATCAATTTTTATAAAAATCTACTAAAAATCTGATTTTAAACCCACGAAACAGGAGTTAAGTTTAGAACTCCACGAAGCAAGATTTTGTAATCCAAGCAATAATCTTTAGTTTCTCGTAATCTCCTTCGATATCGTTTGCTCTGTTGATAAAAAATTCAAAATTGTTTGTCCATCTGTAAATAAATTATAAACGACAGCTGAACATGGCCTTAATTTGGACGAAACCTTAGATCGATTACCTGCTCCGATGGGGATGTCAGATGACACGTGGCTCTTCGTTCTTTGTCCATTGCCAACTACTATCTTCCCAACCCAACTAAGATTCGCACTTTTATTTTAATAGATAATTAGTATTAGTTTTAATTTTAAACTCTGTGGTCGGATTATTATTATTATTATTATTATTATTATTATTATTATTATTATTATTATTTTATGACTCAGGTGTTCGAATTTCGTCCGACTAGTCCTGATAGTGGTGGCCTTTTCCCTGGTTTGCCACTCGGATAAATTCGGATGCGATCATAACTTATACACACTTGGACTAGACGGTCGGATTATTATTTTAATATGCATGTTGCAAGATCTAAGTGATAACTCATTAAAACAATATATTCGAGATTGATGTAATAACATTTTTATTAGTTAATTATTACGTGGATGCATTTATCAATATTATAGACGTAATTTAACAAAGAAATGAAAACAAACAGTAGCTTCCAAATTCACTCCAGAACAGAGAGACTACGTCATTAACAAGTAGAACCCTGCTTGGTGTACATGGATTTTTTACCAAACGTTTTACAGATACACATTTGAATGATTCTCATTGGCA